CCGGTTCTGAACTGTTAATTCCATGTAAATCCATATCATCCACCTCAACAACATATTCAGTCAGACCAATCACATGGATGACTTTCTAATGATCATTCAGAGACAGTATATTAGGATACAGGTTCTAAGGAAATTATTATTTTTTCCCCAACAAGGCAAATCAACATCACTTAAATCATTGATGCTGAAACAAAGCCTCCCTTATGAGAGGTGGTCACACCCTTCAATGGGCTGGGCAGTGCACCTCTGCATTTTTGTCACTGTTGGTGAATGCAAAGTATGTGAGTACTCTGTGGATGATAAAATCTGTATCTACAGTAACAATGATCAGAACAGGAGCTCTGGCTTACTTTCCCTGCCAGAGCACAGGAATGCTAAGCTCATTGTACAAGCTCCTTCATAACATCACCTAGTCTAGTTTTTAGAACCCAGTGTCACACATTGCATCAGCCAGCGGGAGAAGCTAGGCAATGGGTGTAGAGCATAAAAGATCAGAACAGGAGGGAATGGATCTGGCATCAAACCTCCTTTTAGTTGTTGGCATTGTAAGTGATCTGTTGTTTGCATGATGAGTTCAGATCAAGCAGAATAAAAGTGGCAATGGACTAAAGTAGAATGCAGCAGGGTCAGTTTCTCAAAATAAAATCTTCCTTAGATTGTGACCACTGCCAATATGGCCAGCATTCGTTGCCTATTCCTGGTTGCTCTTGAATGGGTCCATTGCAGAAGCAATTAAGAATCAACCACATTGCTATGGATCTGGTAAGAATGGCCAATTTTGTTTCCAAAAGGACATTGGTGAACCAGATGGGTTTTTTTGACAATTGACAATGGGTCATTAGCTTCTAGCTATATTTTGCAGAATTCTTTTTATTATGTGAACCCATGTCCCCACAGCACTGTCTGGAATACTAGTCCAGCAATATTATCACTACACTGTCACCTTCTCTTCATTAGGGAGAATTTGGAGGAAGAGGCGCAAGAAGGGAGTTATAGGCAGATCACATAATGAGAGGATAAGGGGTCAAGATGAATGGAAGAGGAAGAGAAATGTAGAGACAGAGGTAGAGAGAGAAGGTGACCTGGTCAGGACTGTGGCTCCACAGCAGTAATGTTACGTCAGTAGAGAACAGTGCCAGAGAGGGACTTCTGCCTCAGTGGGAAGAGGACTTCACCTGGTGGGGAGCAGGGGAAAGTTAAGAATGATACCTGGACACTAGTGAATGCTGGAATACAAGGGAAATGCTGGGATAGGAGGAAGAGTGGGGATAGAAGGGAAATACCAGCATATGAGGGAAATGCTGATATATTAACAAATGGCTAGGATATGAGGGACAACTGAGATATGAGGTACAGCTAGGACTGGAGGGAGGGCTAGAATACAAGGGTGAGCTGGGATGTAGAAAAAAGGCAGAAATTGCTGAAGAAACTCAGCAGGTCTGACAGCATCTGTGGAGAGAAAGCAGAGTTAATTTTCGAGTCCAGTGACCCCTCTTCAGAATAGAAGTAGTTCTGAAAAAGGATCACTGGACCCCAATGTTAACTCTGCTTTCTCTCCACAGATACTGCCAGGCCTGCTGAGTTTCTGCAGCAATTTCTGTTTTTGTTTCAGATTTCCATTATCCACAGTTTTTTGCTTTTTTTTTGCTGGAATATAGAGTTTTTGCCCTACAGATAGCTTTCCAAAACTAGATTTTCCATTTGCCTCTTCCTAAACATCAACTTTCTGTTGGCGTCATTCAGTCATAGCCAGCAGAGGGTAGCTTTTATTCCCCTTTTCAACGAAGCTTCACACCTATTTGTGAGTATTGATGAGTATTCATCAAGCTGACAATATTTTTAAGGGGTTCTTTTAAAAAAGATGTTCTTTATTCCCTCTTACCCTGTTTTGAAAAGTTATTAATGTCTCTTTGCTTTAAGTGCCTTGTAATGTAATGATCTTTTTTAAAAAATTCTTAGGACATCAGAGGCAAGCTCAGCACTTATTGCCCAAGCCTATGTTAGGAGGAGTTTGTGGGGTTGACAGAGCTGGATGTGCATTTGTCGTGACCTAGTCTGGTGCCATGGTTGATGCTGACTATTCCATCCAATTTATTCTCATTTTAATTTTCTTTAGCAGCTTGATACAACTTCGTGATTTATTAGGCAGTGAAGAGATAACCGTAATCTGGAATCACATTCAATAAGATTGAGTAAGGATAACAGATTTCCTCCCTTAAAGGAAATTAGTGAACCAGATGGCTTTTTAATGGCAATCTAGCAGCTTCATGATCACTATATTTGATTTATTCAATTATCTAAATTTGGATTCACCAGCTGCCACAATGATATTTAAACTATGTCATACTAGATCATCAGTCCTGGCTGTGAGAGTACTTGTCCAGGCACTATAACAATGTGCCATTGTTTCTGCACGTATGCAGCATCATATACTTATATTACAATATTATGCTCACAAAGTCATGGACTAGTGTAATGCCTTTGGAAGGTTATGACTATTGAAGTGTGCAGAGGACTGTGAAACTTTGCAGAGGAACATAGATACATTGAGTGAGTGGGCAAAGGTCTGGCAGATGGAATACAATGTAAATAAATGTGAAGTCATACATTTTGGTAGGAGTAATAGTAAAAAGGGTTATTACTTGAATGGTAAAAAGTTGCAGCATGCTGCTATGCAGAGGGACCTGGGTGTCCTTGTGCATGAATCACAGAAGGTAGGTCTGCAGGTACAACAAGTAATTAGGAAGGCAAATGGAATTTTGTCCTTCATTGCTAAAGGGATTGAAATTAAAAGCAGAGAGGTTATGTTGCAGCTGTACAAGGTGCTGGTGAGGCCACACCTGGAGTACTGTGTGCAGTTTTGGTCTCCTTACTTGAGAAAGGATGTATTGGCACTGGAGGGGGTGCAAAGGCGGTTCACTAGGTTGATTCCGGAGTTGAGGGGGTTGGCTTATGAGGAGAGACTGAGTAGATTGGAATTATATTCATTGGAATTCAGAAGATTGAGGGGGGATCTTATAGAAACATATAAAATTATGAAGGGAATAGATAAGATAGAAGTAGAGAGGATGTTTCCACTGGCAGGTGAAGCTAGGACAAGAGGGCATAGCCTCAAGATTAGAGGGAGCAGATTTATGACTGAATTGAGAAGGAATTTCTTCACCCAGAGGGTTGTTAATCTATGGAATTCCTTGCCCAGTGAAGTAGTTGATGCTATTTCAGTAAACGTTTTTAAAGAAAAGGTAGATTTCTTTTGAACATTAAAGGAATTAAGGGTTACGGTGAGAACGCGGGTAAGTGGATATGAGTCCACGAAGAGATCAGCCATGATCTTATTGAATGGCGGAGCAGGCTCGAAGGGCCAGACGGCCTACTCCAGCTCCTAGTTCTTATGTTCTTATGAAGGCACAATAGATATTACTTCTGTAGACCAAACATTTGCTCTTCTGCAAAAAAGTTTGCTTTTTCTCCTCTAATATTTTAAAAATAAAGAATTCCAGCACTTATGTGCTGGTGGATTGATTCTGAATCATGCACATACCCTGAAAATCAATCCAGCAAACTATTTACACAGGATACTCAGTCCCCCACTGCCCCTTCATATGCTTCTTTATGTATACACATGGTGACCACATAAATGGACACACACTGCGCCAATAGGTTTTAACGCGTGAATCACATGTACAGATGGAGACTTCATTCCCTTGTCAGTCAGTGACCTTGGTTTGCACGTTTGCAGCCCCCAGTTTCTTTTGGTTATTTACGTGGGATGTGATGCCAGTTTTTCAGCAATGAGTCTAACTCTTCGCTGCCTGGCATGTCTCTAAGTTGATAGGGCATTTCAGCCATCCCTGAGAAGATGATGGTGACCTGCCCTCTTGTACTGCTGTAGTCAATGTGGTGGAAGTGCTCCCAGAGAGGTCATTGGCATCTCTTTCTGTTAGAGAGAGACAGATGGTTTTATAGCTTGAGAGACACCATGATCAAGTATGGGGTAAGACAGAGAAGGAGCCATCAATGCTCTACCACAGACAGTATGGCATTGAATCCATTGATTTTGACATCATTCGGCAACAAACTTTAGCCATCTAGCCACCATGCTAACTGACTCACTCAGTGAATGAATAGTGATAAATTTCCAAGTCAGGATGGTGAGAGCTTTGGAGGGGAACTTGCTAGTGTTAGTATTCCAATGGATCAGCTGCCAATGTCCTTCTAGGTCTTGGATTTGGAAGATGCAATTGAATGCACCTTGCTAAGTTCCTGACATGCATCTTATAGATGGTACACTCTGCTGAACGAGTGAATGTTGATGGTGGTGGATGTGATGCCTATCAAGTGAGCTGCCTTGTCCTGGATGGTGTCAAGCTTGTCCAGGAGCCTGGGGGCATTCCATCACACTCTGGCTTGTGGTTTATGGAGAGGCTCTGGGAGACATGAGATGAGTTACTTGCTGCAGGGTTCCTAGCCTCTGACGTTCTGTTGCAACCACTATTTATTTGGCTAGCCCAGTTCAGTTTTTGGTCAATGGTAACTCAGGATGTTGGCTGTGGAGTTATGTGTGCAGCACTCAGTCCGTGTACACACCATCAGTTGCCAATCCACAACATTGAGTTACTGAGTAGGCAGAACTCAGTTTTCATGTGTGCAGCCCTCAATCCCCATGCACACAGCTGTGTGTGTGTATGCGGCTCTCAATCGCGAGGTACGCAACCCAGTCCCTGTATACGCAATCCTCAGTCTCTGTGTATGAAACCTTCAGTCCCTATGTACACATCCCTAAGTCTCCTGTGTGCAGTCCTCAGTCACAGTACACAGCGTTAAGATATCATACATACAGCTCTCAGTTGCCATTTACAGAAACCTCAGCCATCAGTTTCTGTAAACACCCCCTAGATTGTAATATACAAAGCTCTCAGTCCCTGTATAGCCCCAGTACCAGTTTTCAGTCCTTGTATACACAAGCCCCAATCCCGTGTACTAACAGAGCGAGCACTTACTTTCGGCCGTTTCCAGTCAAAACTAACTGCCGGCTTCTCGCTGTAAAACAGGGAAGACTCGTCCGCTGGGAATTCTGGATCCTCATATAAAACTCCCTGCGTTAGGCACTGATTTTTCAGCTCCTGGTAGGTGGCTTTGCTTGCCTTCACCCCGATGGTCCCTCGGTCTTTCACTGCCTTCTTTTTTTGGGAGCCCCCACTCGCCGAGCTGAACACATAAGGCATGTTTGGCAGTAATAAATAAAGCTGAGACAACGACTGCAGGAGATGAAGAGAATCTCTGAACAAGGTGTTGGTTCACCTGTCTGTGTAAAGTTTCACCTGCTCTGGAATGTCCTGTACAACTCCACCTCTCTGCACATTAACTCCACCTTTCCTTAGAGGGCTTCTCCTCTCACTTCTATTGTCACTGCCAACTCTAAAACTGACACACCCTCATCAAATATCTCAGTAACTCCCATTTAGACCAGTCTGCCAGCCCCAGGAATTTACGCAGCTCATCCACCCTCAGGTCTGCGTGATTGTTCAAGCCTTCCTTACATTTGGACTCAACTATTCCAACACTCTCCTGGCCAGCCTCCTGTGTTTTATCCCCAGCAGCCTATATTCTAGCTTGCACCAAATCCTGTTCGCCCATCATCACCCCTTGGCCTTCGCTGATTCCCAGTCGGACAATACCTCAAAATTAAATTTCTCATCCTTTTCTTCAATTCCCTCCCATGGCCTGGTCCATCCCACTGCAATCTCTTCCAGTCGTACAAGCCTCTGGGATATCTGTGTGCTACCAAGTCTGGCTCAAGACTTTCACATGCATGTTTCAGACTGTGGATTGTGATGGTTGAGGGTACCATCACCTGACTGACAAGGAATCTCTCCTGGTCTTAACGCCTGCCATTATCATAATGTTGGAAGGATTTGCATGTTAATGTACGACTTGTTTGGCTATATTATGAACTCGGCTTCCTCGGCCCCCAAGTCCTAAACCCAGAGCTTCTAACTCAGAGACAGGAACACTATCACTGTACCACAAAATCTGTATCCTAAACAAAAATCATAAATTTCCAGAGCAACTCAGCAGATGTGGCAGCAGATGTGGAGCGAAAGCAGAGTTAATGTTCAAAGTCAGAACAATTCTGAAAAATGGTCACTGGACCTGAAACGTTAACTCTGCTTTATCTTCATAGATGCTGCCAGACCTGCTGTGTTTCTACAGCAAATTCTATTTTTGTTTCAGATTTCCAGCGTCTGCAGTTCTTTATTTTATTTTAGACCTATATCCTAACTATGTGTATGTGAAAGGTCTGCAAATTCTGTGATTGGACAGTAGCATATGAATGCCTTTAGTGTTCAGATGAAACTTTTTATCCACATACTTTCAGCAGAGATATTGGTCTGATTTAAATAAGTCTATTAGCCTCCAGCCTTGGACACATGAGAATTTGATGTGACTGCATTCCCTGCAAATGCTATTATCTTACAACAATGTTTCACAGGAATACTGCACATCCAGAATGACTCACAGGCAGGTTATAATAGGGAGGGCCTTTGATTATATCTTACTCACAGCATATTGTGTCATTGGGAAATAAAAACTAGCTCAACCGGGCCATGCAGAACAACTTGCTATGGCCCCTCAGATTTGGGAGTGCCTACTAATGCAAGAGACCTGAAAGAATTGCTGCTGTTTCTGTGAAACTGCTTTGTCCTGAACACCCTGAAACTATTCATTAATTTCATTCCTTTCCATCTATAGGATTTCTAGTGAACACCCAATGACAGAAGAGAGAAAAAGCTGACTTTCTTGCCTGTGCTCCTAGTTGTTGAGCTGAGGCATTGCTTCACAGTAAGTGCATGAGAAAGTTACATTTTGCAGTGAGGCTGTAGCAAAATCCTTGGGAAGTCAAGAATATCACTTCATTGCCAAAGTCTCCAATGTCTACTCGAGTGTTGTTTATGCGAGTCATAGAGACTTTCTGTACAGAAAAAGGCCCACAAGCCCATTGCATCCACATTGGTCAAAAACAGCAACCTAACTATTCCAATCTTATTTTGTAGCACTTGCCCATAGCCTTGTTTACCTTGGCATTGAAGTTTGCACATATGAATACTACTTAAATGTTGTATGGATTTCCATCTGTACAACCTTTGCAGACAGTGAATTTCAGATTCCCACCACCCTTTAGGTGAAAATATTTTCCCTCCCATCTCATCTAAACCTTCTGCCCTTAACCTTAAATCTATGTCACCATTAATTGATACCCCTATCAATGGAAAAATTTTCTTCCAGTTTACCCATCTACGCCCCTCATAATTTTATACAACTCAATCATGTCCCCTCTCAATCTCTTATGCTCTAAGGAAAACAACTGCAGTCTATCTGATCTCTCTTCATAACTGAAACTGTCCAATCCAGGCAACATCCTCATAAATCTCCTTTATACCGTCTTCAAGGCTATCATATCCCTCCTATAATGTGGATTCCAGAACTGCACACAATACTGTAGCTGTGATCTAAACAATGTTTTATACAGCTCCAACATAACCTTCCTGCTCTTAAACTGAATGCATTGGCTAATAAAGGCAAATATATCATATGCCTTCTTATCCATTTTATCCATCTGTCTTGATACCTCACTCAGCAGCCTATTTATTTCAAACTCTTCCAGTCGTCAGTTACAGAAGCAGTCCATGTCCAAGTGCAGCAAGATTTGGAAAATATCCAGGTTTGGGCTGACAAGTGCTAATTCACATTCATGTAAAGCAAGTGCCAGAGGGTGGTGGGAATCTAGAATCCACTGCCTGCAAGGGTGGTACCATCTCTAACAACAGAGAATATATCATCATCCCCTTGACATTCAATTGTATTGCCATTTAGGAATTCCATACTTCCAATGACCTGAGTGTTATTATTAACCACCACATAAATATAATGGCTACAAGAACAGGTCAGACCCTAGGAATCTTGCAGCAAGTAACTCATCTCCTGACTCTCTGAAGCCTGTCCATCATCTGTAAGGCACAAGTCAAGAGTGTGATGAAATACTCTCCACTTGTCTGGATGAGGGTGGTTCTATCAACATTCAAAAAGCTTGACATCATCCAGGACAAAGCAGCCCGCTTGATCAGCACCATCTACTCTCTCCACCTCTAAAGGTCAGCTGCATCAATGTGTACCATCTACAAATTAAACAGTGGAAATTCGCCAAAGGTCCTTAGACTGCACCTTTCAAACCCATGACCACTACCATCTAGAAGGTCAAGGATAGCAGATAAATGGGAACACCACCACCTGCAGGTTCCCATCCAAGCCACTCACTATTCTGACTTAGGTAAATATGACCAGCTAAACTTCATATCCCCAAAGTGAGGCCCAACTAGAGTTAGATTGTGAACAGTGACGGTTTCACGACCTGTGTTCTCTGGACCCAAAGTCTCTTTCTCTCCGAGACAACAAGGTGCAGGGCTGGATGAACACAGCAGGCCAAGCA